ACAAAGCGGACTGCGTCAGCGCATCCGAAACGTCGATTTTGCTTAGGGAGGACACCCATTTTGTTACGTCGCCGCGCGTGAATAAATCGCATATTATTTAATATATATATATATATATATATATTAAATCTATGTAAACCAAATTATTTCTTTTCCTCTTTAAGCTCTAAATCCCTAACTCACGCACCCGATCTCCAAATCGTTCGCACCCGAGCCTTAGACCGTCCGCTTCTTCCTCCCGCATTCGCCTCAGCCGAAGCTCCTCTTCGTCGCGAGAAATCGACTTGAGGTCCCCTCCTCGTACACCTGTCGCTCTGCCTAAAGGCCATTCTCTGTCACCACGCGCTCTGTCTTCAACAACTCCAGTCGCGCTCCGGCTTTCCCCTCCCACGCCTCTTCGATTCTTGTCGTCTTCTTCCACGCCGTGCCACGCGAGCGGCTCCTCAGCGACAAAGCTACGTCGCCTCCGCGCGACTCTTGTCGCGGCGCGACTCTTGTCGCTTCTCTCGGCTCAGCTCACCGCCCAGGTGAGTGCAGGTGACTCCTTCCTCTCCCCCTTTTGCTATAAAAACCCACTTGGGGAAGAGTTTAAGGGTTAGCCGAATTTTATTTTGAGTGGGGGAGGTGCTGCCATTTTTGCTTCTTGTTTCTTTATTCTGTGTGTTCGTATTTGAGGCATTGGGAAGGCCTTGCCTTCTCTTGGGTAAAGCTTGAAGGAGGAGGGCCGAAATTTTCAGAGGAAGGGGGAGGGGCTGCTGAAATTTTGTGGGGCTTATTCTTGCATTTACTTTGGTTCTGCCTCAAGGGGTAACTTCTTCTCCTCTCTTTTCTCCTCATTTTTAATTCTCATGGTGCTTCTTCAGTTTGATTTTATATGAAAAAATCGGTGGCTGAAAAAAAAGAGGGAGAGAAAATATAAGTTTTGTTTCGAGAGAAAGAGGGAGGGAAATTGAAGAGAGAGAGAGAGAGCATGTGTAATAGCGAGAAGAGAGAGTTAAGGGAGATAGACCAACATAGTCTGCTAGAAATAGGGAGTGCAAGAAAATGAGTCATAGAGAGAGAGAGAGAGGGGGCAGGGAGACCAAGAAAATGAGTCATAGAGAGAGGGGAGAGAAAGAGATGGAGAGGGAGGCAGTAAGAGAGAGGATGGGAGAGTGGGAGGAAGAGATAAAGATAAGAGAGGAGAAAGAGAGACAAGCTTGTGTGTGTCAGGGATAGAGGATAGAAAGGCGAGTGAAGAGAGAGAAGAGGGCAAGAACAAGGGAAGAGAGGAAATAGAGAGAGCAAGAGACAAGAAAGAGATGAGAAAGGGATATGAAGAAATGAGTGAAAGAGTGAGTAAGAAAGAAAGAGATTAAGAAAAAGATGGATAGCGGGAAGGTGTTAGAGAGATTGAAGAGAGATGGGGATTGAAAGAGAGAAAGAGAGTGAGAAAAAAATATGGAGAGAAGTTAGAGTGATGAAAGATAAAGCAAGAGAGAATGAGTGAGAGAGTGAGGAAGAGCAAGATAATGAGGGCAGGAAGAGAAGGATATATAGGAGAGAGGGAGAGAGTGCGTAAAAGAGAGAAAGAGATAAGTCTCTCTTTTAGCTTTTAAATTATTTTGGTAGGCCAAGGGTTGGTTTTACACATGGCTTTTTGAAGCTTTTCTCATGTGCAAGTTATATGTCTCACACTTGGATTTTTGGAGACCTTATGTGCAAGTTAACGCTTTATGTGTGGCTTAGTTTGAAAGCCTTCATCATATGAAATTTTCGGATTTGGGAATGACTCTACTTGAAACACTCATGAAAAATATTATATGTGTGTATTTCTTGCTCATTTATATGGCCATTCATATGCATTACACCTAAGCTTTATTTTTGCACACTCCCCATCTCTTCTCATGCACAAAAGAGGTGTCTATCAATCTATATTTGCCGAAACGAAATTTTTTTGCACTTGTGAAGTTACACCATATTTATACCTGCTTAAGTATGAAATTTGCGCTTGTACACTTGTAGAAGTTGGCTCACATTGCTCATATTCCCATCTTACAAAATTTCTTCACTCTTCTTTTTATTTATGCTACATATATGCTTGGGATTGATGGAAACACTGGATGTCGTCATTTATATGCTTGTGTACTTTCATAGTTGTGTAAATTGCAGGTGTGAAAAATCTATTTTTATGTCGTTATGCTGCCCGATTTTTCTCGATTGGGTTTTTCTCCTTTTTTTTACTTACCTGGGCATGTTGCGTCTTTGTTTTTTTTTTACTTTGGCTTTCTCATATATATCTCGACTTTTCATTATTATTTTAACTTCATCGCTTCACCACTACACTTCACCACTTCACCCACTCCGCCTTCTACATTATATCAGATGCTACATTACTTCACACCTCTGCACCACGTTGTGAGAGGTTTAACTGCTTTGACATGTATTTTGATTTTCTTTGATATAGAGAAAAAACCCACCTCCTTTCCAGAATCGTGTTAGGTGGATTGCCTTCTCCTCTCTCTCTCTCGCCCCATTTTTATTTTTTTCTTTTCCTTGATTCTTGGTTCGGTTTTCGATGCTTATGTCCGAAGCATAAGTGTCCACGTATAGCCTTTTGCTATACCTGAAACCATCAAGCAAGGTCACAAGTAGTCGTTTTG